GGTGTCTTGCTGCTACAATTATACTAGCCGTGTCTTTTTCCAGTGTAGACTGGCCAAAATAAAGTGAAACATATATTACCTGATATTATACAATGAGCAGGTATAAAATAAGTAAAACAAGCAGCAGATGATGAAGCAAATGGTCAACTTATTGATGCCTTCTCCAATCCTTGACTGCTCAGTACCATTGGTTATGCCATCTGCATCCCTCATTCATGACCTGCTATCAAACTTTCATTCTCTAAATGCTTTTTTGTCATCTTGCTCCCTCTATTTTGTTTTGCTTTTCTACTTAGAAGATGTTTGACCTTGAAGAGAGATGGACCCTAAAATTAACCATGGCCAGCTAGTGCCTCTTATACTTGGCTATGTTCAGGGTAAGAATGTGTGAGCTAACATATTATTTTAATACAACACACTTTTCTTAATGGTCAGAATAAGAGTCAAGATTGGAAATCAGGGAAAAGTGGTGGGGGAGCAGGGAAAGTCAACAACAGGTCTATTAAAACAGTGAGATGGGTAAACAGCATGTTTCAGCACAAACAGCAAGGGTGGGGTTTATTATTTGGGAGTGGGGAGGGAACAGGGAAGACATTTGGGCTTTAGCTCAGTGGACAGGGAGGAGAGGGGCTCCAGACATTGTGACTCCAGCCCTGTGGAAAAAAGCCTTAGGGCCAAATGTACTTGTCCTTAGGTGACTAAGGTTTGTAATTGGGTTTGGCAGAATATGCTGTTGGGTTCTTTAGTATTTGGATGGCATGGTATGGGTGTGTTGTATTTTGCAGAAAGGAAAGAAGATACAACCCTTGTCTTAATACTTGCGGACTAGGGGCCTAGTCCTCTAAGATGCTAAAGTGTTCTTTTATCTCTCACTGACTTGCAAGATCTTAAAGTAAAAAATCTAAGAAAGTCAATGGGAGATGAAAGAGCTGATTGTGTTGTAGGATCTTTGCCCGTTAGTGAATGATGGTAGCAAATCTTTGATAAAGGCATGGGAGGTGGGGGTGATGGGAAACGAGGCCAAGTAATTCAAGTTGATAGTTGTCTTTACTGGGCCATGAAGTTTTAAAGTTGCATGAGATGTTATGGCTTCCATGGACCTACTAATTTGACTGGAGTTTGCAGGACTGAACAGGCGAGGCAGGACAGTATGGATCAGATGATTATGTCTAGTCCTCCTAGGGAAATGACCAGTCTGGATAGAATGAGGATGTTTCAGTTGGGAAGCTTTATGGACAAATTGTTTCCGAGAAGGAGGAGGAACAGAGTTAGTATCCAGGAGAGGACAACTTTTATACTTTGAGGTACAAGTCGTTGCATGAAGGCAAGGCTGGTATAGGCAATCCTGGGCCTGCCCCCATCCCATCCCATCCCATCCTGCACTGCTGTGCTCTCTACCTGAGCCATCTACTGGACTGATGAGGAGTCATTGTTGCTCCTCTTTGACAAGGTTGTCTCCAAACTCAAGACCAGTGTTTCCTAAACAGTGGAACATGCCCTCTTTCAGGGTGGAGGGGAGGGGAGGTAGGAAGATACTAAAGGTTCCTGGAGGATGTAGGGTCACAACTAAGAGAAAAGTATTATGCACAAAAGCATTGAACAGAATTTGGCAGCTGAAGTAGGGAAGCACAAGAATGGTTGGCTTCACTGCAGTGGGGCATAAACCCCAAAAGCTTGGGAAATGCTGCTCTGAACCATTATTCTGGGGCCTTATCTGATCTGGCGTATGCCCCATAGAAGGGAGGATAGTGTTTCCAACGAAAGCAGACAACTTGGCAGGAGAAAAGGGCCTCCTGTCCCTGCTACAACCCTAGTCCAAAAGCTACAACTGCTCTGCTGTCATGGTATGAAAGTCTATCCTCAAAACTGTTTTTTTTGTTTTTGTTTTTGGGGGGGAGTTTCAAACTTGGTGACTCAGTTATGAATGGTGCAGCCCACCTGTTTTGGAGCTATTGTTCCAGGCTGTGTGCAGGCATCACTCAATTCCCGTCAAATCATGTTTTTCAAGCTTTTCTTTGAAACTGGTGAAAGTTGTATTTGGACAGTATCACATGACTCTGCAGCCAGGACACTACACAGTAGGGATCGGGGCTGGGGATAGCAACAAAAACAAATGAATTCAAAAGTTTTTCTAGCAATACTTTTTAGATGGCAAATTTTAAGTTATTGATCAGAGCCAGGTTTCAGGGACTTCTGAGTAGCCGAGTGGGTCAGTCGTTTTATTTTATTTTACTTTTGAGAGTTACATACATGTATAAGTTAAAGGTGTGTTTTTTCACCCCCTCCCCCCAGCAGCATACATTACCTTAATTATTTCTATAGTGAACTTAAAGGGGAACAGAGTTAGGCCAACAATACATTCTTTTTTTTTTGAACATTTAAAACTGATCCAGACATTTTGGATCCTGCAGATGCTAAGCAGAAACAGACCGCTTTTCTAGCATAATAGAAAATACTATTGAAGGGGTTTGAGCTCATTCATACAGGAGGCACCTCTTTTTCTGAAGAATGGAATCAAGACTATTAAAACTAAGGGCAGTCACAAACCTTACTTTCTGCTCCATCTGCACAGCACACTTCTCTGAGCCCCTTCTCTAATATGAATATATAGCACCATGTATATTTAAAAAATGTACCTTACAAAGGAAGGCATACAAAAAATTAGAACTCTTGGTTCCAAAATGATACCTTTTATTAGACCAACTGGGAAATTGCAAGAAAATTGTCCTTTTCTGCAAGATATTGGGATCAAAGTCCCTTCATCAGGCTCTGGGAAAAGTATAGAAGACATTTCACTGCTCACACTTCTATCTCATGGGGAAGAGGAAAGCAGAACAAACTTCATCTGACAGATTTTGGTAACATTGCTAAATACACTACAGAAAGGCACTAGAGATAGGAGGGTAAGGATTGCAGTATAAGAACTTATTTAGAATGCAGCATGCTCATCACAAATTATTACTCTCTGTAACGTTACCATGCATTTATGCATTTGAATATGAAATCTTTCAGATTCTCAGTGTCTTTCCTGTTTCTATTTCAGTGGAGTCAGCACTCTTACTGCACTCTGAAGATGTATTGGTTTTTTAAGAGCAGACTTAATGGTGTTGAGTAGTAAATAATGGGCTGCAAAATTTTCCCCCAAAAGATAAATAAAGAGGTGTTGTAGATAAGCAGGCATAAGCCTCCTTTTTATGAGGTGTAAATGTTTCAGGAACAGTTTGTAACATTGACTCAAAGCTCCTGTCTGGATACAAGTTCTGCTTAAAAATCAGCAGCACAATACCATTCTGAAATGTTTGTAATAATTTAGGGTAGGATTCTTCTTAATTTTACCAGCAGATAGACTTAGGAAATATTAACTAGATGGCAGTATGCCTACCTTCATATACTAGCCATGCTTTCCTGCATACAGTCCAGAGACTAAAGGCCACCCACACCCCGCTACACAACTCAGCCCTCCTTTGAACTGCCCAGAACGTGGCCTGCTTGGGGCTGATATGTCCTGATCATGAATTATTGCAGCTGCAGAGGCTTTTTCCTACCAGCTGCTAGTGGACTTCTCTAGAGTGCTCTTCCCTGTTTTCATCTTGTGCCAGCTGTCCTTCAACATGCTCTTTAACTGGTGCTTGGGTGTTCTTGGGGTACTTCCTGGCAGTTTCTATCACAAGGCTAGTGAAAAGGGACCTCTGGGGAGGAGAGAATCTGTTTCCAAAGTCTAGCGTCCTTGAAGTCAGTGGCAAAGTTCATAGACTTCAACAAGACCTAAAGAGCTGGAATCAGGGCTGAGCTTGTTTCTTTCATGGGGGAGGGGGGGTGGGCAGTCTTTGCTTCCTGGAATCACACTTTTTTCAAAAAACAAAATCTAAGTCTCTATCTATTAGCATTACAAAGAACCCTGGAAAAATGGAAGGGTGTAGGGTGTAAAGAGGCTGCCTAACTAAGTGCTTCAAACAATAACTCTGGGAAGTGTGAATTGACATGTTCAGCTCTGTGGTGTTAACAAAGGCCTGATTTAGTTGCCCTATGGCTAGTCACTGAAAGAGTGCAAAGACTCCGACAAGACGATTCCTGTCTTGCCTTTGCCTGAGCAAGTTACTCAGGCAAAGTTACTTGCCCCACTCCTGCTTTCTGCAGCAGAGTTCTCTGCTCTAGCATTTGCTGTAGGGTGCGGTTTCTTCCCAACCCTGGCTCCACTGACTGATGCTTGGGGGGGAGGCTGCAGTTCAAATGCCCCATCCTGGGTCAAATTTAAATTTTTCTCTCCATCTATGAGGACTAGGAACATAAAATAACAGTTTATATTCCGGGGCTGTTGCTGTGATAGTGCAGGAAATGGAAGAGGCACAGATTATTTGTGATACCTTTTATTGGGTCAACTGTATGTGAGCTGTATGCAGTTGGTCCAATAAAAGTTATCACAGACAAGCCCTTGCCTTTAGTTTATATTCTGGCATCTGTCCATGAGAGCTGAAGGTTTGTGCATGTGCTCATTATGTTTGTGCCTTCATCAGCCTTTACCTATGAGCATACCTAACTCCATTAAAGGAGAGCTAAAGCCAAGGAGTCCCACATAGTCCAAGAGAACACAAGCAATCATATATTGAACAGTGAATAATCCACCATCCAGTAACAATGGCTTTCTCTTTTTCTTCTGTCCCCTGTCCCTACCCATTGTGATGCCTGCCTACAACATACTTTAACTGAGCATTTGAATGGAAAAGAAATGCAGGGATTTGATGGATGAAAGGATTGGCATATTATCAAAGATTATCCTAGAGCAAAAAACCCCAAAACAAAACAAAAAAAAAGCTCTCACAAATCAGGGGTGTGGGTTTGAAAGTAAACTTAGTGGAGTAGTTCATTCCCTTAACCTAGGATTGATTGTTACACTCAACCCACAAGGGTCTATAAACACGTGTGGTCTACAACTCACATTGCTGGACAACGTATTACCTGTGAGAGCTTCTGAGGGTGCCTGTGGTCATGGGAAATCTGAAATGGACAAGGAAAGCAAAGTAGGATTCTCATCTGTTTGCTCCCTGTTGTTATCTATCTGCAAGTGAAGGCTAGGACTACTGGTCTGCGCTATTGCACTTGCATTCAGATGAGTAGGGAAACTCACTTCCAACTTAGTGAAATGGTACAGCACATTGCTAAACTCCTTTAAGTGTGCTGCAGTCTAGTGTCAGGCTTCATATCAGCGGTAGGCAATGTTGTTTCTCAGTATAAGTGCAAGTAAAATCCTGATTTTAGGCTCAGGGGAGTGGGCCCCAGTTGTTGCAGAATAATTTGGGCTGCCTTGGGATGAAAGGCACATACAGTAATGTAGTTGTTACTCTTGAACACCTCTAGGGCTAGCCTTAATTGGCCTAATTTGGCAAATTATTACATAAATCCATGTATTGCTGTAGTAATAATTTCCTAAGGTTTTACCTTTTGGGAATTTCAGAGGAGTGCTACTTGTTAGTTCTAATATTGCTGTCAGACAGTTTAAATAATCATCCCAGCCTCTTCTGTGTTTCTATGTTAGGCCCAGTTTGGTACTCTTGATATAACTGGGAAGAGTGGAATGATTTAAACTGATTTGTGATGATTTAAACTGTGGGATGATCCTGCCTCATACAGGGAGTTGGGCTAGCTGACCTCTTTCAGCCTTGTTTCCAACCCCTTACTTCCCACTTTAATGTGATGAATAGGATCCTGAGCAGCCTTTAGCCTTAAATGGGTGAAGTTATATAACATGTGTGGGCTTAGTCTCCCAGGGCTTATTTACCAGGTAAAACTGGCATGGAAGCCAATGTGAATGTTCTTATAGGGAAGTGTCTGGCTCTTAGCTTGAAGTTGATCCTTTTGCTTTCTATAGTATGATTTTAATTTTAATATGCTTGGTGGAGCTGCTGACATTCCCTCTAGCAGATCAAGTCAGTGGTGAAACTCCCATGGCATTGGCTCAAGATTGAATTTAGTTCTAATGGACAGTTGTTTAAAAAAAAAAAAAAAAAAGCAGAAAATTCCTGTGGATTGGCTCTAGGTTGAATTTGATTCTAATGGACAGAGATCTCAAGAAAGGGCAGAAAACCTGGGGAATTATATGATATTATAAGCATGTGTTTTTGGTTTGTTTTTGTTCTAACTAAATAAAGGCAAATCTAAGATACCCCTGCCCATATTTAGCGAGAAAGCCGATGCCTTTCAGACGGCTTTGCAGGAAGAAGCAGCGGGTGTCCTTGTTGCAGAGCAGCTGGGTCTTGGTCCCCGAAGGGAACCGGGGCCCGACTCGCGGACGGGAAGGTGCAGCCCTGCCAGGCCGCCCCCTCTGGTCCCCGCCAGCCGCCTTCTATCAGCCGGGCGGAATCAAGGCCTCGGCCAGAGACATCGCGGCTGCTTCCCGGGACACCGCTAACGATGTGTATTTTGGTGATTTGATGACAATGGAGGTGTGGGACGCCTCTGAGTCAGGCCAGGGCACGCTGCGGACACTGCCCCGTGGAGGGGGTGGGGTGGGAAGGGCACCTAGACCCAGGGGCGGTGGGGGGGAGGCTATAAAACCCGCCCGAGCCGGGGGGCCCGCATAAACCTGCGT